TTAGCATGATTCACAAGGCTTTGATCTTTATCCATTGTATCAATATCTAGAAATGAGTCGGTCATGCGACCAAAAACTATTGCCATCATCGGACGCGCAAAGCCATTAGCTATAGCTCCAATCGTACCAATAACGATTAAAAACCAATCCAGTTGGGTTCCATATTTAAACTGTCATGAGATATGAAAAGATTAGTATCAATATTGATTGACCGGCAAACAAGACGAAAGTTACTTCCAATAGCTCTAAATTAGTTTGAGCTGCTGATTGGAAAAAATAGATTAATTAAATCATAATACTCACCAATCCTAAAATAGATACACTTGGAGATTTCGACTTGACAGAATGGGACTTTTTAGGAATGGAAGGACCACATGGTTCAGGGCTGAACATTCATAATAAAATAGGAAAGATATCATTTAAAAATGACTCAATATGATTGCAAACAACAGGCAAAGGTAGACAAGTGAAAATAAACTTACCCGCTCAAATTAGCAGATTGGCTGAATGAACCATATTCTGATCCACATTCTGACTTTAAAAGTTTTCTTTCTTCAGCCATTTCATTCAAAAAATATAAAATAAATCACAATTTTGGAACAGTTACACAAAAAAATAAAAGCACAAAAACCAAAGGGTTTAAGACAACAACCTTAAACCAATTTCACAAGGTTAACAAGTGCACAGTGACCAGTTAATCCCTTAGAAGACTTTGTCTAGTCTAGTCTAGTAAAGATGTTTCCATTACAGCTGATCAATAATTGCATAACGGTGATATGATAAAACTACAATCTATTAAGATTGATTAAATCAACATATTATCAGCAACAAATTAACAATGCATGGACATAAAAAAAGAGTTTATTTTTCGGCTAAAAGCTCACTCTCTTTTTCCCACTAGTTGCTCTTGAACAGTACAGTAAAACTGGAAAGACAACCAATCTCTGTAAAATCTGCGTTGGAATCCGGTTTTAAACATAAGTTCATGTGTACGTGAATTTGTCTCAAGTTCAAGGAGCCAGTTTTGAGTTTAAGAAAATAAAAATTCTTTGGTCAATCACAGTGGCTCTCCGTTTGAAATGATAAGGGGGAATGATAATCAGGGAAATGCAGATTTAACCCAAAAAATTAATAATTTAATTGAATATTTATTGATGTCTCTTTTGTGATATGATAGATGGAGTAAGCACGAAAATACAAAAGTATCATTTACTGTAATCAGTGTAATCATATTTTAAGATTTTCTATCAAATTTTAAGATAATTTTGTGAGTTAGTTTTGATGAATATTTTAGATGTAAATAAAATTGAATAAAGTCCGCTGATAACTGAAGAAATCAAAAAATGATGATGAAATTCAGATTAAATTAACTCCTTAATCAGAAATCGTTGATAAATTTATCTCATTATCTGAGGTCAGTTGACCAAAAGGCATTTAAACGAAAGTCAGTGGCGTAAATGATTTTCGTAACAATAGATGGCGATGAGTGCAAAGCTCAATACAGGAAAACTTTTGAATGATTTCAAATTGCTAATTGCTAATGTCTCTTTATTTATGTCTCCTTCTTAATCAAAAAATAAAATTACCAAAGAATAATTATTGTCACAGTTTTATTCTCAGCATATCCAATGCTCTACATTATCATACACTTTCTTTTTTCGATCGATATAATTATCCTTAACTAATGAATTTGCATTTCGAGTTTACACGATGAGTCGAGAAGACATAATTTGATATCTAACACAAGGTTAACAAATATATGAAAACAAAATCATTAAGATCACAATTTAAGACAAACAAAAAGCAAATCCTGAAGAAAATTTAGCCTGGTAGTGGAAAAACGCTAAAATATCTTGCGCTCAAGTGACTTGATCCCGTTGGCAAAAAAATTAGCTTTGAACCTTTCTTTTAGTTCATTTAATTTTTTGTTGATAAATTTGATCTATGTACCTCAGTAAAAAGCTTTATTCAATCACCGGGCCAACATAATGACACGGTGCTTCGGAACGAGTGAACTCGTTGTAAGTGAGACTTTTAATACCTGATAGTAAAAACTTCATCAGCAGTTTTTGATTTGAAATATTCGCCGGTTGCCGAAAAACAATTTGTTCCGATCACTTTGTTGATACATCTCACACATTATTCATACCTTTTCTCAATTAAAACAAGATCATGTGCTTCCCCTAAATCTACCCAACTAATTTGATTGAAATCTTGTCGATTTCTCACGAAATTCATTTGAAATTCATTGAAAAGTTAGCATCCTCTTTGCATACTCTGAATAGAGCAAATCTTTAACTCGAGAGTTTTTGTCTTATGAAAGTAAATTTTGGTCATATGAACGCTGGTTTTGTTTTTATGAAAACTCTGTGTCTTTCTAGTCATCCAGTCATCCTGTGTTACTGTTGTTGTGTGATAAAGCGATTGAGTTAACAATTGATTGATTTAATAGAAAAAATTGCATTATTATTTAATAAAGTCAAAAAATAATTGTTTTGCAAAATTTCATGTCAACAAGATAATTAGTCGACAATAGTAAATACTAATCCAATTTATAGTAATAGTAATTGGATGTTAACTAGCGTAAATTAATTGTTGAATAATATGCTGTCAAGAAATTAAAGTACTGTTGAATGTTGCTCGAGCCCAGTCTGGTGTTGTTGATAATCCGAAAATTGGATAACCAAGAAGGTTAAGATTAGCAACGATAACAGCTAAACTGGTGACTTTCATCAATAAACCTGGAATAACCTGGGAAAAGACAAAATTATTCAATAAAAGGATAGCATTAGAATCAATTTTAAATCGCAAAAGTTTATGGGGAAACAAAAAATGAATATGGTTAATCGGATTGGAGTAAAAAAGCATTGATGCATCTCAACAGTAATTCAATGTTTCAGGGATAACTGAATAACTGAATTTATCAAATTATTACTCAACTGGTAACTAAGTTGTTTCAGCTCTTTTAGCATTAATACACAAAAATGATTACTTGATTTAACTGGAAAGGTTCACTTTACCAGCAACTAGTACTTAAATTGTGTATAAATCAAGATTAACATGAACGATTAACCATTGAATATGAATATTCAAGTTTTATTGAAAACGATGATATCAATATTACCATATCAGAAGGTTTTAGACCAGCATGTTCATAGACTAACGCATTGGCTGGAGTTCCTGCTGGTAAAATGAAACACATTGAGCAAGCCATGGTAACAGGAATCAGGAAGACTAATGGATTGATTCCAATTGATGCAGCCTGTAATAAAGAGAAAGACAAATAATTAAGTAATATGTTTAACCAGAATGCAACTTTGGCTATTAAATTATTTACAAGGAAAGGTATTCAATGTGAACAATCCCATGAATTATCAGTTTATAATTGATCGTTAAATTGAACAAACCAATGGTCAGTAAAGGACAACAACTAGTCTAACCCAATGTTTAAGCAAAAGCAGAAATATTTGTCCTCAATTAACTAGTAAATCCAAGGGATTGAGTAAATGCTTTGATAAAAAGACAAATTACTCAAGATCCAGACGGAAAAAGGTATCAACAATCATTGATTGAAACACTATCTTGAAATATTGAATTTCCTCAATAAGATAAATTATATTTCTCTGAATTATGCGAATCTTTCATTTGGCTGTTGCTTCAAAATTTCAAATCAGATTAACAGTTTTTTTCAGTGAAAAACAATTCTGGTTGATAAAGTTGAAAATGACAGGCATAATTCATGTCTATCAAGTAAACTGAAACTATGATAATTGGAATGAACAGGAATCTGGGAAATATGATGAATCAAGAGGATAAAATAATGGATGGTGAAACTAAAAGGATGCCTACAACTTGAGCAACAACAGGTAAAACGATTGTAGCGGTTGTTGAATTGCTGGCAAATTCAGTTAAAAATCCAGCAATGATGGCAAAAATGATGATAAGCATGACAACTGGAAGACCGTTAATCTTTGTGAACATGTTTCCAAGGTATGCAGAAAGTCCTGAAGTCTGTAAAAAGAGAAGAATAAAAAAATGTTAATAATCATGAAAAAAAACAACAAAAAAAAAACAACAGAAGCAAAAGAAAATGCAATGAAATGAGAAAATTAAAAAAAATGAAAAAAAGGTGATGAAGTAAAAGATGAAGAATGACGATGATGAAGATGATGGTGATTAGGATGAAATAAAAGACGGCAATGGTGAAAGATGAAAGATGATGAACATAAAAAATCAATATGGAGAGATGAGGAATAACAATGGATGAAGGAAGAGAAGCATGAAAATATAGGTTTGACCATTTCCTTCAGAATTATCAGATTGTTGAAACATCATGTTTAACCTGTTAATAGGTATCTTCTTCTTCTTCTCCTC